GTTTTTATTCCAGAGTCTGGACACTCCATAATAAAATTCTGGACAAGTTTTTGCAGATCTTCATCACTAATGTTGCTGTAGCTCATTCTCACAGAGAGATTGCTCTCAGCCATTCTTCTTCGTACAGTGCTGCAGCTCACACCGAGCAGTTCTCCTATTTCACGAACAGTGAAATTGTACTCTAAAAGGAACTTCAGTTGCTCTTCCGAAATATCCCAAGATGGCCGTCCTCTTCCCCCAGATACGATCAATGGAGGCTTAAATCCACCTGTGTGGTTGTTTTTTTCACCTACTAAGTACAGCACTCTCTGTATACTTTCCAAAATGTCATCAATGTTAATGAAGACTCCAGTCTGTTGAGCTCGTAATAAGATGCTGTAGATCTCTTCATAGCGTTGTTCAAGGAAATCCAAGTCAAATTCTGATGGATTAGCCTCGAAATTATCTGACAGTCGTTGGCACTGGGTGTATAAATAGTGCATCAGTTGATGGCTGCGCTGATCGTCATCAGAACTAAAATGAGAAATACAGCAAAAATTATTAAAGCTAAATCAAATCTTAAGAAGCTTAATAAAATTTTATGTGAAACTATTGTCTATTTTCACTTTCTTTTAGGTGACTTTAGCATTGTTATTCTTTATTTTTTATCATTCCACATAAATCAAGTATCATAGCAATGAAGAATGATTATTTAAAAAGTGGTATTAAAAGTATGAACAACTTATAAAAAGCAAGTAATGGAATATTTATCTCATAGTGTGTCATATCTGATCATTTGTCAACCTGGAATCCAAAGAAAACAAAAAATGGATTTTTGTACTTTCAAACACATTTGAATTTTAACATTGATTATCAATTGCACACAACAACAAGAGAAAAAAAACCCTGAATATTGAAGACCCCTTGACAACGACTGTTAAATCAAACTGTGATTACATTTAATTAAAGAATATTACACTCACTTATAGAGATGCATACCAATAAATAGCATAACTTTCTTTTTCAAACTAAAGTTAGGGTCCCCGACTGGAACATGGTGAGCTAAATGGTAAATTCAACAATGCTTGAGGCAGACAATTTGCCCCCATAAATTTTTAAAATCTAGATACTCTAATCATTTCAGGAATCATTTCAGCTGTACTTAATAAACGCTCTAAAGTGAACTAAAGTGAAATCTAACGTTACATTTTTAATCTGTTTTGTAGATTTACCTGTCTTCACTCAATCGGTTTCGCAATAACAG